AACGTTGTTCTCCGAATAAATTTGCTGCATTTTGGGATTTATTTTACAGATTACATATTGCAGTCGAATAACGTAAACCTAAAAATTTTCCAACAGCTGTGTATGTTCAGGCTTTCTGCAGTATATGGAATTGATTTATATTATGCGATTATTTTGGAAAAATTTTGGAGGGTAGAAAAACAAAAATAACTTTTCTTATTTTCAATTTAGGATTTTAATAATGACATTCAATTTAGAAAAAATAGTATTGGGGAGGAATTTTCTCAGTCAAGTTTGACTGATTATTTAAGCATACTGACTGCAAAGATTGTAGGTAAGTGATTTTCTGTTGCCCTATTCGTATAAAAGAGTACAATGAGAGGTTGAAGACTGAAAGATAACTGAGTAAAGATATTGTTTTAAACCTTACTTACTAAAGTTGTAAGATATGGCTAAATTTTAAGAAAATGTGATATTTAATCAATTGAAGTGATAGTTGTGTCATTAAACTCTTAAGTAATTGGATAATATTTGGGTCAGGTAATTATCAAATATGTATATGAGCATTTAAATTATATTTGTGTAGGAATATTAACACCGTTCAAATATTGATTCAATTTTGCAAACATTTAGATTTATGCTAATAAACTTCTCTTCAATGACTTATCTATATCCTTTAAAGCTATTCAACATAACATAACCTGATTTAATACTCGCCTTAATGAGGTACGCATTCAAAACTATCAGCTGAAAGTGCACTTAATTTACAATATCACATCAATAAATTTTGCAGTGTCTATTTGAGCAAACAAAATTTTGTTGCAAATTCTTCCTTTTTTTGTGTACAATAATTAGTGGTCAATTTGAAATCATCTCCACTGCTCTTAATATGCCGTAAGTGTGAAAAGTAATTAAATGTAAAGTTTATGAAGTACTGTAATTAAGGACTATTTAATTGCAAAATAACTTTGGAAAGTTATTTAAAGTTTGTAAAACGAAATTTACAGAGTTTATAGGAAAGAGAAAATCAATTCAAGTTAATGAGTCAAACGTGGGGGTTTTGATAATTAGAGCAAGTTCTGATTTCGTTATCTAAATTGTTTTAAAGAAGTTTTTTAATTTAATTGCATCGAAAAATGTATTCATATTTATTCGTTTTGAAGTTAAGTAGCTTTAGTTTGGAAGACCTTAAATAGCAGAAGTAGTTATTTTCATCATAAAAGTCATTTTACTGTTTTTAACCAATTATATGATACTTTTGTAACATTGTAACAGTCTTTAAGAGTAAATAAGTTGTATTAAATTTAGAATGATATCATTTTTTACAGTAATTGGTACGTATTTAATAAAATAATTGATTTTATTACACACTAAATTTTCTGAAAGAAGAAAATTCTTCGTTATTCGCAATGATTCCAGGATTACTTTCAATGTAACTAAAAGCCCGAATATTGTTTTATGGTTTTATGTTTATTTTGAAATGATTTAAGATATTGATAAGCTTCTAATATATATCTATAATACTCATTTAATATATTTTGACTGGCTTGTGATGTTATGTTGGAAATTCAGCTCGACTTTCTACAAATAAATTGTAAATTAAACGATACATCAGTCAATAATAGTAGTTGCACTTAGTTGAAATATTTTCGATGATATTTATAAATAACATTATAGCTTTATTAATCATTAATTAATTAAATATAATCTGCAATATTTTGTTAAATTTTAGTGTTTTTTGAATTCGATTATTTATTTCGAATTCGTTTCGACGTAGTAGTCGGCGTAGTCGTTCGAAATACAATTTTTTATTAATACAACATTGCATTTGAAAAAGTATTTATATACTTCCATGGAAGAGCTTTCACAATATTAAAAAACTGTTATGTTCCTAGAAGAGTATTTAGATATCTAAAAATTCTTAGAACATACATTTTAATAAATACTTAAAAAATTTATATTATATATTTATATATATTATTTGGTTTTTAAAAATATTTAGAAATTTTTCGATCAAATCTTACGATCCTAATTAACAATGAATATTAGCTATTAATGTTATATCGGTACCATATTTCAGCTTCAAATCTGGTGACATTACTATTTCAATAGTACTGGGATAAAAAAAATAAGTTCTTTAATAAGGAAGTCCAGATCCTAACTATTGAGTTGACACATGTCATTAGCTTCTCATAGCGCCTCAAAAGCGTCATTCTTTCATTATTCAGTGGAAGTTTTAGTGTTTTCAAAATTGCAATAGGAATTTTTAGAAACATGTTCAGTTTATAAAAACATCGACAATATTAATAAGTAATGTATACACTTTATGTCAGGGGTTTTCACGACTTCGAGTAATGCGGTAGGTAATCGTGTAAAAGTGCAACCAGTTACGTTAACTCGTGAGTACACTTGATTGTGTTGATTTGTTTACGACAGCTGTTAAAATCAGCTGTATTTTAATAAATTTGTAAAATATTGTGAAAACAAAAGAGATTCTGATATAAATATCAATATTATGCCGAAGTTAAGTGAAAAAAGTAAAATTGTTGATATTTTGATCAAAAATGGTCTAAACAGGGTAAAATGGCTTAATATAAGATTTAATATGATATAAAAATTTTTAATATCTAAAATTTGGCATGACTTGAGATTTTAAAAATATTTTATAACATGTTTTAAATAATTTAGGAAATAAGTTATAAAGTAAAATAAGCTAAGTTCAGTCTTGAAAAACTAAAGACACTTAATGAATTTTTAAATAAATCAAAAATTATATGAAAATACGCGTTGAGTGCAATTTCGATTATAATTTTTAACATAAATGCGCGAATATTTAATATCAATCAAAAGCAAATTTTGAATACTATCCATATGAAATGCTTAGTATAAATATATTTTCGGAGTAAACTTTTTTTTATGTATAAGAAAGATGGCAACACTGAAAATATAGTAAACGTGCAACATAAATGTTGGTCAAAGCAAATGCGTGACTAACGTAGTAACGTTGCTACGCATTACTCGACTTTTTATTTTTGATCCTTTGCACTTCTAATACGTTTACTCGGTTACTGATTGCGTTACACGCACTCGTGAATAACCCTATCTTTTATTTAACTTAATATTAAGACCGCATATGCTTTATATATTAATGCGTCTGTATTCGCCATATTGAAATTATATACAAAACTTGTTCAACAAAACTAATTGAATATTAGTTTTATTTTAAAAATTATTTATTTCCGTTTAAAGATATATAAAGGAACTGAAATGCAGAAATACTGAAATTCAGAATATAAATTTAAAGCTACGCTCAGGTTTTTAAAAATAAAAAGAACACAATTTATGGATCATAGGAGACTACCTTATACAATACTTTTGAATTTATCATTGAAGGTTGCCATGAATGCTGAACACTAGTTATATAATTTATGGATCATAGGAGACTACCTTACACAATGCTTTTGAATTTATCATTGAAGGTTGCCATGAATGCTGAACACTAGTTATACCAGTTAAAATAAATTCAGTCATTTATAAATTCAAAAATAAATACCAAAACCATCAAAAGTCAAAGTGCTAGCTAACAACACCGATAATGCAATAAAAAAACCAATGATTAGGAAAAATTTTGATTATTATTATGTTGAGGGTAGTTGAGTCAGTGCACTTGAGCACTTCTGCTCTCTATTAACTGCGAGATTTCTTCATAACCCCTCTCTACTGCTTCACTGAATTATTGTTTATCACTTCATCAAACTAAGTTATAATTGACCTCAGATCTGTATACCTCTTCGAGGAGCCACTAACCATTCTGAGATTCGATAACGCGGTTTTGGTAAGCCGGTAACTTTTCGTAAATAATTTCAGGGTTCTATCCTTTATATATTTTTTGATCGGATCAATCTTGAGGTCTCTGAAGACGTCATTCTTCCTAATGTAATATTAATAAAAATGCGAAAAGAATAGAACAAATATAGAAGAATAACAAGAAATAACTGCTTGTTAAGAGCCCTAAAACTATCAAAAAAGATGATTTGCTAAACTTTCTAAACATTTTAAGCTGTGAGTGTTTCAAAATCAAAAGATAATATTAATAAAGTAATACATGATGTAGCTAATGTAATGATATTCTCTAAACTTTGTCACTTTCTTAAATACCTATTAATATGTACTGATATTAATGTTTGAACATTGTGGAAATTATTTGAGGACAAAGTTTCTGATTGTTGTTATATTTCCATTGCACTTTCTACTATTAGTGATTTACTTAGTAAAGAATAACATTACGTGAACTTTAGTTGATGTGATCGATGAAGATCTTATAATAAATGAACATAAAAAAATTTATGAATCAATGTTTAGTCACTTAAATGCTGATCAACGTGATGTTTACAGAGAGATTGAAGAATCCATATTTGGGTCCAGTAGTAAACTTGATACAAATATGTTCTTCATTGATGGGTCAGGGGTCATCGAAAATCATTTTAGTTTTTAGACTTTAGTTCAAAAGATTCTTCGTCATATTTTATTTAGTGAAATGTTGACAGGCGATAAAAAACGAGAATTTGTATCCATTACTCGTATAACGCTGAATACAAGAAGTGACTCGGATATACAAATGTTCCAAGAGAATGATCCTTTGGTATGACCATCAACAAATCAGAAGGATAAATTTTTAATACACATGGTTAATTGTATATTGCCTTATATACAAGCTGTACAAACAAAAGTGGGTATAAATTTCAATGTAAACTCTTTGAGATGATAATAAACAATATTATATTTGAAGAATCATTTTTAAAAACTTAATGTCTGCACAAATGATTTTTTATAATAAAAAAATGCAGAAATAATTTAGTTTTCGCAAAACTTCAATTTAAAGTAGGTATTGCCTAAATCTCTATCGACTAATCTTAATAGTTATCAAGACTCGCTAAAAACCAATGTGACAAAACTTATTTGTATTCCATATTAAGCATAATAAATCATATTCTTGGAATAAAAAGAGAAATTTAATCAATATTTCAGACTCTCAATTGTCCGTTACTGTGAAATTGTTCAATTTAATTATACTTCCTTTAATTACATATTGATTTCTTTTTCATTACTCACTTTTATTGCAGCTGTACTCTCTCTCTCTTTTCACACTTTCCCACCTAAATGCAACAGTGAAGAAATCATAAAAGGTGCATTTTCATGTAATTAACTTAATTTCTATTGTTAAATAATTTAATTAATTTTGTTCTTTTCTCGCTGTATTTTGACTGCGTTTTTCTCGCTGTAAACTTTATGGCTTTCACTCGTAAACACTTGCAGTTTTTGTTGTCAACTATCGCCTTATCGACATTGTATTCGTTGGAAATTGCGGTTTCATCGAGCTGCTAAAGAAGCGCTTGCAGGTGAGACGCCAGAAGGCAGCGCGAAAATCAACGCTGTAAAATGCATAAATAAAAGGGTTTATGGCGCTGTTAAACCAACCCAGCCATGTAAGTACTTTGGCTAACGTGTGACTTATTTTATGCTCGCCTAGAAATGGCGTAATTAAGTAGCAAATGAAGAACGGCAGCCAACAAGCAATGAAGCCACCCACAACAATGCTCAACGTTTGAGTGGTTTTGTTTTCTTTCTTCAGGGATGATATGCGATTTGAGAGTGACTTAGTGTGATAGTGATGATGATGAACTCGTGTTTGACGCAAAATGGTTGTGTCTTGCATGTTAGGTGATGTTGCAAGCTGACCAGTGCTGCCACTGGTGTGCACAGCAGCTGTGTTGATGTGTAAATGATGATGTCGTATACTATGTGGACGTGTTAATTGATGCGTTGCATGCAGCTGTGGCTGCTGTTGCTGCTGCTGTTGAGCGTTGAAGGACCAGTGTTGCTCGAGCCCAAGTGTATTGTTACCACCTGTGCCACTGCCAGCAATACCGCAACCACTTGTCATTGTAGTCATCGTTGAAGATGCCGTAGATGTGCGCTTCAAAGATGCCGGACGTGTTAATTCGTAACAACCATTTTTTGTATTCGCTGTGGTGAGTGCAAGCATCGAATGACAATGTGTGCCAGCGGTGCCGCCACTGTTCTCTGCATCTGACAACATTAGTTCGTGTAGTTCTTTGGCTATTGTTTGGTTAGAGAATGTTCGTGCAGCTTGCTGTTTCTTTGAACTGTGATCCTGTTCGGAGAGGTCATGTTCAATGTCATTGTCCACATCTGCCGAAGTGTAGCGTTTGAATTTCTGTAAAACAAGAATTACACAAGTTTTCTTATTAAGAACTTCTAGAGATTTTGCAATTTCTAAATTAAATTCTTCATGCATTATTAATATATTTTCTAAAATACATTATAAAACAATTTTTATTTTTCAAATGAACACATAGAAAAATTTGCTATTAATATCGTTTAAATTGCCTGCAGCACTTAAATTCTTTGTTGGCGTAAGTTGTGCAAACAAAGTGCTTTGTAATCACACTAAAGTTTTAAATTTCTTACAGAATTCAAAAAATTACCATTAAAATGAAGCTTAAGTGCCTTATACACTGTCTATTGACATCTATAATTTCTGTTGAAATTGCTTCACCCATAGTTTCTTGCACACTTGAAATTCATTGAATCTTAAGTAACGATTTTCTTTGTTTGTTGAAACTTAATACTTTGTAGTTCCACCCAAACTTCGGAGTACTGAAGGCGGCGAAACTTAGCCAACCTAATAACAGTTAAGGAACGTTTTAAGTAATAATTTCATTTACTTTACTGACAATATAGTTAAATTTGTAATAAGTTGATTTACATAAAATTTAAATTTATATGATAGTCTTAAGGTTGGCCTTCGGTGTGAAGTGTATTGTTTAAAGTGTTTTTTGGTTTCACTTCAATGGAAACAAAGATTTTATGGTCTTTTTAATGCGAATGGAAAGAAATGTAGTTTAAAGGAAATTGGGTATTATGATATTTTCTACAACCGTGAGGTATGATGGGTAAACATAAAACCAGTTCTTAATATCACTTATTTATAAAAATCATTAAGTCAAACATTGAATTAAATTCATGTTGAATAATTGAAAATTAATTGAAAATTAACTTAATTGAAAATTAAGTACATACCTTTTTTACAATAATTAGTACAATGAATCAAACTATATTTAGTTAAGCTCAAGCGCACACATAAAAATAAGTGATAGTTGGAATGACGGCTGAGAGTACCAAAATATGCGAAATAAAAATGTGCTATCTAACAGTATTAGCAGAGAAATATTTTCACAACACATTGTCTTATGAAGAATCTATTCAACATTTTTAATATTTAGACAACACAAAAATACGAAAGTAATCAATACTAGTGACAGACTGAAGTACTTATAATCATTAAGTGCCTAAATCGCCAATTATTTGCCAATTCAACATTTAAATTGTCATAAGTGATATTTAACTTCACTATTTAAACAATAATTTATTCCTCATATAAATGTTCAGTATTATATATATGTTATTATATGCATATGTAATTGGTTTAAGTCATACTTTGAAAATGTTGTACTGCATATGGAATGGCTTACTAATTCATATCAGTGACCTATACTTATATTTATTGACTAATATCAGTTAAAACGTAATTCACTTGATTTCACCCATCCATTCAGTTAGTGATTAAGTTTTCTGTAATCAACCAAATGCTACAAACAAAAGCCAAAGTGCTACATAACAGCATAAATGGAAGTATAAGATGGATTCTTAAGTGCATTCAAAAAAAAAACAAATGAACCAAACTAATTGTTCAAAGAAATGACATTTTAAAGAGCTGATTCCTTGAAAAATACTTGCGAATTTCAAAAATCACGTGCGTAATATTACCAATTATATAGTTAACCAAAACTATTACACAGGGTATATTCGAACAAAAATAACTGAAAATTGATATATGACTTAATATATGACTTAATTTCTGTAGCAAATAAAGTTAAAGGAATTAAAAATTGGGTCTTTAAGAAATTATTGCAAGCAGCCTTATATTATTTATTAGTACTAGCAAACGCAGCCTCATCGTTTATTCACTATTATGACGGCATAAAAAATCGTGGCTACGTGTCCAAAGCTTACATTGTCTCTATAAAGCCATAATATAGGCATTGAAGACTTTAACCATTTTAGTATTGTGACACAGTTGTCTCTCAGTCGAAAATAAAATTTTTTATTTGATATAGTTAGCTAGCCCATACAAACTGAGCCCAATTCAATCCCCTCTGCTGCCTTCCATATAACTAATTCAAGAAGTAAACTTTTGCAAATTTATCCCAATAAAGTATTATTTGTGAGCCAAGAGAAAATTTGAAAAAATTAATTTACTTTTAAATTTAAAATCCATATAAATTAATTTTTGTCATACTAACTTTGAATACTCGTTAAAATATTTTACTTTAATTATTAAAATATTAAATAATTTTAAACCGAAAATTTAAATAAACGTGAAAAATTTTACTCATTTTCAATGTTGCGAAGTTTTGCTAAAAATTTTTAAACTTAAATTTGAATTTTTCTAAATTTAAAGGATAATTAAATCTTGAGGTAAAAAGCTAAACTTACTTCAAAGAGAAAAGCCTTATTGTATTGTGTATTTTCAAGTAGCGGTTGTTGTGTTTTTTACGCCTGAAAAAGATTCTGCTTTGACCGACCCATTTTCGTCTGAATCACAAAAGAAAATGTTCAGAATTAAAAAAAAAGTGAATTCCTGCAGAAAATTAAAGTGAATTAACTGAGGCAAAAGGGTCAATCTATTTAAAAACACATTTCATTATAAGATTGTATTATAAGAATGCATAAGTTGTTTATATAGTTCACAAAGTTTTGTTTTAAATGCATAGTATATAGGTAAACTAAGATTTAAGTTTAGGGTTAGGATCTACCTATGAGAAGTGAAAAACAGTTCTAATATTTTTTCAAATATTTTTATAAATGTAAAATTTTTTTAAAATTTAAACATTTAAAAATTTTATCTATAAAATATTTTAATTTTCAAACACAAAATAATTTTTAGTATATTTTTTTCATTCCGTGTTTTAGTGGAACGAAAAAGATTATCTACATTTAAAATTGCGAAATAAAAACTCATTTTTGATTTGAATTTTTAGGCCGTGTGCGAGTCCGAGTTAATTTAGGTAAAATAAATTGAAATTTTCTAGGGATTTTTTGCACTGCACTTATGTAAATATTTTTTTATTTATTTATTGCAGTTATTTATTATTTTTGGTTTAAAGTTTTCAAATTTATTTATTTTTTTATTAAACATATTATAAAATTTTCACAATGGTAACACCTAATTTATTTAATTGTTATATGATTTACCATACTTGAATTTCTGGTAAATATCAACATTCGCTGCCACACCGACATAGTTTACTATTTCCCTCAATTTACCATCTATTTACTCGAACTCGCACACGGCCTTAATACTTAATAATTTAAATAAAAACAACAAA